CGTCTGCGGCCGACCCGGAGTCGGCACTGGCGTTGCCTCGGCACGAGCCTGCTCCTCTGAGATCCGACGCTGCGCCTCCTCGTCCCGCTCCTCCGGGACAGGCCAGGCTGGTGGGGCCTGCTGGTGACCCTCCGCCGGGTCCTCGTCCTCGTAGACGTCGTTGTCGTTGTTGTCGCCTGCGGGCGTCGGAGCACCGACGCCTCTGAACCTGGGAGCTGCCCTGACCTGCTGGACCAGCGCCAAACTCCACAGGAGGCAGAGGATGCCCATCTCTGCTGGGGCGATGGGCCTCGAGAGTAGCCCGTGGGCTGGGTGCGCGTGAAAGCCTGAAAGTCTTTCGCCTGAGACTCGAGCCAAGAAAGGCTACGGAAAGAACGCAGACCGGCCCCCGCGGGCCTATGATGACATCGAGAGCTCCGGTCTCCCCGTGGTCTCCTGCTTGACGGACCTTAGCTTGACAAAACGATCCTGAGCCCGGTGCCTGTTCGAGGCGGGCCCGCTGAGCCCAGGACCCGATGAGTAGGATGAGGAGGGTGAGGATGAGCGATGCGAGCGAGCACGTGAAATTGCAGAACCCCTGGTGGTTACTGAACTCCGATCTGCTCGACGCCCTCCTGGACCTGGTGCCTGGCCTAGCCGACCGAAGCCTGGACCTTCTTCTGTGGAGGAGGAGGTGGAGGGAGATCAGGTAGCTCGCGATCGTTCCGTCAGCCAGCATCTTCGGAGGCTTCTCATTACCAAGTGCGAATGAGCTCTCCGTGAGAAAGGGGTATCGCTTCAAAGCTGCAGCTGGCACGGCCGCTGGCTCCTCGAGCGGTCGGACGATCTCGACCATCCGGTGCCCGGAGCCTAGGCGCGTCATGTCTACTGTGGCCTGCAAAGCTCCTGACCGCAACTTGTTCCTCGGCAGATCGATGACACTCTCGAGGAACTCAAGCAAATTCACGCTGAGAATGTGCGGCACAGATTCTCCAAGGACGGTGGTATCTATGATACCGAAAACTCCGCCGAGGCACAGAGGAAAGAGCACGGCACTGATCACCCTGGCCGCGCCTCCTACACCGTGCGCTCCTCGAACATGGGCACGGTGCTCTGGAGGGATCTCTACAAGGCGAAGGCCGTGCACCGCGAGCGCCTCGGACTCGCGATTGAGAGCCTCCACGCCCGCCAGGTCGGTGCCGGCGCCGGGGTCGATGAGACCCTGAGTGGAGGACGCGGCCAGAAACACCGAGTTGCTCGTGATCTCCTCCTCGACCTCTCTCCAGGCCGGCGCACTCCAGCCGTCCTTCGTGTTGGAGGCCACTCCCTCGAACATGTACGCCGAAGCACTGCGGCGGGGAGGAGGAGGTCTCCTGCCGCCTATGTCCTTCTTGACGGTCTCCTTCTTGGCTCCACCGGCATTGGGGCGCTCACGTCCCCAGTGCCCTTTCTCGTGGCACAGCTTGCACTTGGTGACCTTCATCAGCTGCTCCTGTGTCAAGAAGCGTCTCCGCCCAGGCGGAGGCCTTCGTCCAGCTCCGCCTCCGCGCTCAGGTCGGTCTCGCCGCATCCTGCCTCGGCCCTCCGGCCTGGGAGGTCCTCCGCCTCGGCCCTTGGAGCCGAAGTACTCTCGATCACGGCGGGCAGCGCGCTTCAGGTCTTTGTTCTGCTTCCAAGAGCGGTTGTTCGTCAGCTCTGCCATGACCAGCTCGATGTCGTCCTCACCGACGTCCATGTCGTCGATCTCCGCCATCAGCGCCTCGACGTCCTCCTCGTCCAGCTCGTCGCTGCCCTCGTCGCCCTCGTCGTAGTAGTCCTCGTCGGCTTCTTCCTCCTGGTGGCTGCCACTGTCGTGAACCCGACCTGCTGACCGACCGAGGTGAGTTGAGGAGGAGGGAGAGGACTGAAAACCAGGAAAAGCGTCAGAGCGTGCGCCCGGACCTGAGTCCTCAGGAGACGCCGATGTCGCCAGCATGCTGCCCGGCCCGGCCTTGCCTGGCAGCAGCTTCTCGGTTCCGACCGAGGAGTCGAGCTGGCGCAGCGCCCACTTCACGTTGTGATACGTGAGGTCGCCGCGCGTCAGCGTCCGGAGGTTCTGGATGCCCTGAGGGGTCAGGTTCGCGCCCTCTTCCAGGAACAGCCCCTTCAGCTTGTCCGACATCCAGAGGTCATGCCCCTCGGCCTCGGTGTACTCCGCCTCCCGGCGGCTCACGAACTGGGTCAGTGTCTCGTTCTTGGGATCCCGAACGGCGTCGTACAGCGCCTTTCGCCCAGCTCGTCGAAGCTCATCTCCTTCCCGTTCGCCTATCATGAGGTCCATTCTCTGGAGAATGATGTCTAGCCACCTGCTCGATGTCAGGTCGTCGTCCGGTATGTCCTCGAATCTGGCCTGCATCGACCACTCGAACAGGCGCATGAATTTCTCTGATCTGCGCCACACGGCCACGTCCGTGTTGTCGTTCCATCTCTTGATCGAGCGCTTCCACTGCCGATAGTGTGCCCAGCCCGGCCATGCGGGTGGGTCTGTGTAGTCTCCTCGTCCGCCTGTCCAGCTGCTCGATTCCCACCAGCCGTTCCACTTCCGATCCTTCCAGTCGGAGGTGTCGTTCCAGTCCGAGGAGTCCTTCCAGCCCTCGGTCTTGTCCTTCTGATCCTTCCAGCCTTCTCGCAGGCCCGTCGTCATCTCTCCTGCTGCGCTGTCTCTAGGCTGCGAGTTGGCCGGTCGTCCGTGTCCACTGGCCCATGGATCGTCTTGGTCGACCCACGGGTCTCGCTGCTGCTGCTGACCAAAATGGTCTCTGATGGTCTGCTTGACCATGCTCTGGACGCTCTTCAAGAGGGCGTCCGCATCTATGCCCGCACCTGTCGCCGGAGCTGCTGCAGATGATGTTCCCGGCGCCCCTGCCGAGGATCCCGCAGCTGTCTGCCCCGCTGGTCGCGCCTCTGCGACGCCGCTGCCCGCTGGGGCAGTCTCGACCTTCCTCGTCGCCATGCCTGCGAATGTGTCGTCATCCTCTGCGGGCATTCGCCGTGGATCCCCCACCGCTCAGCGGTGCGAGCGGAACCTGGCCCAAGGCGCGCGAGCGCGGGCGGTCGGCCGTCACGGCCTCGCGCCCTTGCCCATGGCCCCGGGCCCGATCCCGCTCCGCTACCAACTGTGGCAGCAGGAGAGGCAAGCGAAATGTTTTCCCTTGAGCCATAAGTGGAACGGACGTCACACATGATGGTCCTCAGACCATCTGTCCCTGAGTGAAACGCATATGCTAAACCTATGTCACAAAATATGGTCCCCAGCAACACAGTGGCGCTTCGACGACAGCATGTACAGCGGCATCGACGCGCTCGACAAGCACGATGGCTTTTTGGCAGATTTCGCTGATACGCTTCGTTCTCGCTTGTGGGTGGGAGCGAGCCGTCACTATGCTGGAGGGGGCCTCGAACGGGGAGTTGATTGTCGTTCTTATCGCCTTCTTATCGATCAACTCTCGGCAGTCCCAGTGATCGGGCACCGACTGGGGGAAGTCATGGTTTCGTGTGCAGTCGGTGGTGTCTGGCCCAGAGCCAGGCGCAAAGCGGAGATGCCCAAGTATCGTGGTCCTGAGCTGTGTGGACGTTGTGGCAAGAAGCCCGAGACGTTGAAGCACAGAATCTGGGAATGCGAATGCAATACAGGTAGTTCTGCATATATCGAGTCCGATGAGTTGGTTTCGCAGGCGCTGGTTCAATCTGACGCCGACGAGGCGTTTTGGCTGCGAGGCCTGATGCCTCAGCCTTGGACGGAGGTACCACCGCCCCCGTCCGAGGAGTGCTGGACGGCGACGACCAACGACGACGTGGCCGAGGGCTTCCTGGGCGGCGGCACCATGGAGGAGCCGCTGCTGGTGTTTGGCGATGCCAGCGGCGGCGCCGATACCAGCAGCTCGGCCTTCCGCAGAGTGGGCCTGGGCATTGCGGTCTTCACCCAGTTGGAGCCGTCGGTGGAGTTGCAGGCCACCGTGAGGGGCCCCCTCGCTGGGCCTCGCCAGGTGGTCGCTCGGGGAGAACTTCGAGCCCTCCTTCTGGCAGTGTGGTGCACAGTCGGCGCGATCATCTTCGTGTCTGACTGTGAGTCGGTCGTGCAGGGCTGGTTCGAGCAGAAGTTTCTGGCCCCATCAGGGCCCGATAGTGATTTGTGGGCCCGTCTTGGCCAGCTCTTGGCCGCCGCACCTGAGCGCTGCATCAGCGTCTTCTTCGTCAACTCCCACCTGACGGGACGCGACGTGGTGCAGCAGCGAGCGCCGAGGTGGATGATCACGGGCAATAGTGTGGTTGATGAGGTGGCGGGGTGGGCGGCTACGGAGGCCAGGCTGCCCGCCGCCGTCCGACACCGAGTGTTGATGCACGAGAGACGTGCGCGGCTGATCAGAATGAGGATCCTGAGGTCGACGCTGGATGCGATGAACGCGGAGGGCAAAGCTCCGCGGGAGAAATCATCGTCCTCCCCCGTCGTCGTCCCTCCTTCTGCTGCTGCGTGCTCCCTCTTCTCCTCCTCCCACTGTCTGGATGACACGGGGCGGGGTTGCACGAGATGTGGAGGGTCAGCCTCCAGAGCCACCACTGTTGAACGGAGGTTAACTAAGTGTTTTCAGCCAATTCATTATAACGGGGTGCTTTGGCTTAAACCTCCCCAGGCCCCCCTCCACATAGCGGGGGGGAGCGTTCATGAATCCCATAATATGCAATTTCATGGCCCATTAAAGTTATGGTATTGCCGTGATTGTGCTGGTTTCGGTGCTAATCAAATTCTCAAGCTTGGTCAGCCATGCCTCCGTAAGCTAACCTCGTCTGGAATTGAATATTTAGACCGAATCTCTCGAGGGCTGTGGCCGAAGGTCCTCAGCCGTGCAGAGCAAGCATCCCGACGTCCCAGGGGCGTAATTTAAGGTGCATTTAAGCTCATGTGGTACTGGTTGACTTTGTCATATGGTCATGCTCATGCTCATGCTCCTCCTGCTCCCCACGAAGTGGCAGCGTGGCGCCGCCTCGCGCACCCGCCGTCGCAAGGCGGGGCACCCCACGTGGCCTGCGCGGCCCGCGCCGTCGAGGACCGACCTGGGCGGCCCGTGCGTTACGAGGATGTCCAGGCCCTCGAGGGGAGGAGGAGGAGGAGGGAGGAGGGAGGAGGGAGGAGGGAGGGGGGAGGGAGGAAGGAGGAGGAAGGAGGAGGAGGAGGAGGAGGAGGAGGAGGAGGAGGAGGTGGAGGAGGAGGACGGGTGGGGGAGGAGAGGAGGGAGAGGAGGAGGAGGAGGAGGTGGACGGAGGACGGAGGGAGGAGGAGGAAAAGGAGGGAAGGAGGAGGACGGAGGAGGAGGAGGAGGAGGAGGAGGAGGAGGAGGAAAAGGAGGAGGAGGAGGGAGGAGGAGGAGGGAAAAGGAGGAGGAGGAGGAGGAGGAGGGGGAGGAGGGGAGGAGGGGAGGAGGAGGAGGAGGAGGAGGAGGAGGAGGAGGAGGAGGAGGAGGAGGAGGAGTGGAGGAGGTGGAGGAGGTGGAGGAGGAGGAGGAGGAGGAGGAGGAGGAGGAGGAGGGAGGAGGAGGAGGAGGAGGAGGAGGAGGAGGAGGAGGAGGAGGAGGCGGAGGAGGAGGAGGAGGAGGGAGGTGGAGGAGGAGGAGGAGGAGGAGGAGGAGGGAGGAGGAGGAGGAGGAGGAGGAGGAGGAGAAGAAGGATGAGGAGGAGGAGGCGCCGCCGAAGGCCTCCGGCACCTCCGCCCACTTTGCTTCGGCCTCGGCCTCCGACGCCAGCTGCCAGGCGCCGCAGAACTTCGGGGTGAACGGGGAGCCGTACACCGAGGAGCAAAAAACGACACAAACAAGCTTTCTCGGAGGTCCGCGCGGACTCCTTGGAATCGGCGCGGGCCCCCCTTCCTTGGTGCGCGCAGCGCGCCAGGGGCGGCGCCGGAGGCGCTGCCAGGGGGGGGGGGGGGGGGGGGGGCCAACGCCGATCCGAGAAAACCGCGCGGAAATCCGAGAATTCATGTATTTATATGTTGTTTTGCTCTTCGAGTACACCCGGAGCCCCGCCACGGTCACGCACTCGTCCTCCAGGTACCTCGGGGGTCCCAACACGGTGCGGCGACAAACCGTGCGGCGACCTTGAAATCCCCGAGGACCTCACCGCACGGTCCGCCACCGCACCGTTTTGGGATGTTGGACGTTGGGGAACGAGCCAAGCCCCGAAACCGTGCGGCCACCCCGCATCCTCAGCTTGCCATCGCTCGGACGTCCACTCCCTGTGCATTTTTCGGTTTCGTGCGTGCTCTTGTTTGCTCGATGATCCAGGCAGGATGCTCCTCCAGGGTCCTTGCCGAGGAAAAAATGCACACGTCCGAGCGATGCCAGGTCAATGACTCACTACACGGCGTGGCCACTGCACCGATTCGGGGCCCCAGAGTACCGCGCGCTGGGCAAGAAGCGTGCGCGGGCCTCCCGGGATGGGCAGGACTCCAGGCACCTGTCCATGTTGCCGCAGATCACCAGCTTGTGCTCGTGCGGCAGCCCGCGCAACCACGCGTCCACCTTTCGGCACGCCCGACGTGGCATGCCCGAGAGCAAACGTTGCCTAGATGCGACAGCGGCAGCCGAGGGGGCAGGCGAGCTTTCGTCTCAAGTGGCCAACGCCGGCGGCGATGCAGGCAGCGAGTCTCGCTCAAAGTGGGCAAGGGCTGCCGTTGGTCTTTGCCCTCCAATGTTTCCGTACCAATCTCGATCCTCGATCCTCCAGAACCTTGGCGAGCTCGGGCGCGGAGCCACGGTTGGTCATGTCGCCGCAGTGGATCAGAACGTCACCCTGGGGCAGCTCTACAGTCATCGTGCTACCACACGGAACGCTGAACCATCAACAAAGGGGGGGACTTCTCTCGCCTCGGCCACGAATGCGTGCCCCGACCTCGATCCGAGGAACACCCCGGCAACCAGAGCCCCTCCCGAGCCCAGGGTGGTCCTTATTTCAACGTCCTGGCTGCAGAGGAGGAGCAGAAAACGGCAGAAACATGAATTTTCGGCGGTCCGGGCGGATGTCTGGTATCGGCGCTGGACCCTCTTCCCCGGCGCGCGGAACGCGCTAGGTGCGGCGCTGGAGGCTACGCCAGGGGGAGGGGCAGCGCCGATCCGAGAAATGTGCGCGGAGCTCAGGCCGTTTTTTGTTGATTCAAGCTTTGGTTTCTCGGAATTCTGATATTTTCCATGTGGCTTTTTCTTGAAAGTAAAAGTCATAATCATAATCATAATCGTCATCCTACTCGTAATCATGATCTCGAAATTTGGATCTTGTCCATGCGGGCCCCCCAGAACTCCTGACCCTTTCCGCCTAGGGCAAGGCTTCCATGCCGAACCGTTTTTGGAAGGTCCTGGGGTCCCGGCGAGGGCACCCGGAGGCCCAACAATTGGCAACACCACACACATATGTACATATATATATATATACATATATATATATATATATATATGTATATATATACATATATTATATATAATATACACACCATACTTACACACACATGTATACATATATATATATATATATATATATATTAGCGGGCCTGGGGCCCGCCGAAGGCCCCCAGAGGCCCCCAAGTTGGATTTTTTTTTCCCGATGCGGTTGTGCCAAGGGTGCGAGCCTGCCTGGGGCAGCTCGAAGCTGTCGTGGCGGCAGTGGGTGTCGCTCACGACCACGACGCGGACCATGGCCGCCCGCCCGCGCCGCTCGGGCGCCGGCGGGAGCGTCAGCCGCGGGAGCTGCGAGGCGGAGGAGGAGGAGGAGGAGGAGGAGGAGGAGGAGGAGGAGGAGAAGAATGAGGATGAGGAGGAGGAGGAGGAGGATAAGGATGAGGAGGGGGAGGAGGATGAGGATGAGGATGAGGATGATGATGATGAGGAGGAGGAGGAGTAGGAGGAGGAGGAGGAGGAGGAGGAGGAGGAGGAGGAGGAGGAGGAGGACGGAGGTTGAGGAGGAGGAGGAGGAGGAGGACGAGCAGGAGGAGGACGAGCAGGAGGAGGAGGAGGAGGAGGAGGAGGAGGAGGAGGAGGAGCAGAAGGAGGAAGAGTGCGCCAGTCGAGACGCACGGGGCTAGCCGCGACGGCAGGGCTGCACTCACGTTTGGCTTCAGCCATGCTTTTCATTTCCTTCGAGCTCGCGTCGAAGGCGAAGCGAAGCGAGGCGCCAGTCTTTCGTCCCGGGGGACGGCCTTGCGAGAGCCCAACGGTGGCCCTGGAGCGCCGAAAAAAAAATAGCAAATCGAAGGGAAGGAGGGAGGAGGGGACTCAGGCCATAGTGTTCGAGTGTCGCGCGCAACCCCCCCAACATTGACACATGCCAGAAATTTCGGTTCCGATGCCGACCATGCTTCTTTGTTCGTCGCAATGTGTATCCACCTTTTGTGGTCGTCGTCGTCGTCGCCGTCGTGCGCAGTGACTGTGCGTAGAATTTGAATGATTTCGGAATCTCATTTCTTACGTTGTCCTCCGTGGCGTCGCTGGGTTGGGCGTGGGTCGTGGGTGCTCGGGGTCCAGTGAATTGAGATCCGCGTCCATCTCTCGTAGTCGTGGGTTGCGACGGGCGATGCCCACCGCCGCTTCCGCTTGAGCTGTGCCGAAGGCCAGTCCTCCACGCCTGTGCGCCGAGCATGCTCCAGAGCTGCGTGCGGCGATCTTCGTAGGAAGCCTTCCCACGGTTCCGGCCCGTCTTCTTCTCTACCTTCGGCTCTGTCGTGGTGGGTAGGGGTGTCTGCTGCGTCGGTACGGGCCGCTTCGCCGGTGTCGTCATCGCGGGCGTGGTTTTGTATACGTGTTGCGACGCCGTGGCGCCCCCGTTACAAGCCTGAGCCTTCTCCGCTGGGCACGCCGTGGAGTGAGGATCATCTCGTTGTTGGGGGTCCAAAAAGAGCACCCGTACACCACTGATGGTGTGATAGTTCCGGTGGAGAGCCTCAATCGACTGTGTAGCGGGAAACGCTTGGTGTCAGCTCGTATCTCAATTGGTCGAAGCGGCACCATCCTCCGGCAATCCTATTGCGCAGCTGTGTGTCGTGAAAACCGTTAAAGGTGAACTTCCTTCCTAAATACTTCGTGCTCTGGTCGGAACGCGATATTTCGATGCTCTCACCGGTGATGTCGACATGACATGATCCATCGTTCTTCCGTCTCTCCGGCGGACGCTCGTCAAGATATTGGCTTTGTCTGGGTGCAGTGCCAGACCACGTGTCTTGGTTTGGGATGTTACATCTCGGCGCAAGCAGGGCAAATTGTCATACGTTGGGGGCGTAGCAGGTCGTCCCAATGGAATCCCGCCCGCCAATCTCGGCTAGGCAAGCGGCTGTCATCCCAATCCGGGTGCCAGCGGCACGCTCCCAGCGACCCCTCCTGCTCCTCTGGGGCCACGGGTGCTCATGTCTGCGCTCGCGCACGGTCGGCGCTTGCAGCATCGCCTCTCCCATATGGCCAGAGCTCCGCACCAGTCTGCTGCCGACCCTGCGAACAAATCTCGGGGGCGCGCAAATATGGATTAGCGATCCATCCATGGATTTGGCGCGCGGTCGCCAAATCCATGGATCGGGGGAGGCGCCCTCCCCAAAATGCGGCCGGTGCCGCCTCGCTCGGCGGCGGCAATCCGCGATTTCCCATGGAAATGGGGCCCGTCGCTAATCCACGCCCCCTTGATCCCATGCTTTTTGATAGTAATTGATAGCAATATTGACCCGATCGATTTGAGATCAAGATGGCGAGCGGAATAAGATCGAATATGGGGGGAACAAATACTAGAACTGTAACGAACTGTTGAAATTCGAGAAGTTGATCTTAAATAGGCCCCAAAAAGACAAAACATCCGTCGAGACTCTCCTACGTAAGAACGGTTTTTTGAAGGCAGATCTGCCTTCAAAAAACCGTTCTTTTCGAAGGCAGATCTGCCTTCAGAAAACCGTTCTTGCAGAGTAGACCAGTCTTTTCTCCCTGCAGGTAGAGTGCGAATCCAGAGCCAATCTAGGCTCAAGCCTGATGAGCCGCTGATTGCGGCGAAAGCTCGCACCAGCCAAGAGAAGCAGCGAACCTGAAAAAAAGTGGGCTTCGCCGCTTCGCTCTCTGCGATCGCCCGAGAATCGTGCACGTCCAGCGCGAGCACGACCGACTGCCCCACGTGCACAGGCGGAGCTCGCCTGCCTCGAGGGCCGGGCCACGGGACCTGCGGGCGGCCGGTCGTGCAGAGGGACCCTGCACGTCGACCGCCGCATCCTCCCTTCCCTCCCTTCCCTCTCCTCCTCCTCCCTCTCCCTCCTCCTTCCTCCATCTCCCTCCCTCCCTCCCCTCCTCTCCTCTCTCCTCCTCCCTTCTCCTCCTCCCTCCTCCTCCACCTCTCTCCTCCTCCTCCTCCTCCTCCTTCTCACCTCTTCCTCCATCCTCCTCCTCCTCCTCCTCCTCTCCTCTCCTCCTCTCCTCCTCCTCTCCTCCTCTCCTGTTCCTGTCGTCCTCCTCCTCCTCCTTCCTCGTCCTCCTCCTACTCATTCTCCTCCATTTCCCCTCCCTCCTTCTCCTCCTCCTCCTCCTCCTCCTTCATCTCCTCCTCCTCCTCCTCCTTCTTCTCCTCCTCCTCCTCTTCCACCTCCTCCGTTTCCTCTGTCTCCTGTTCCTCCTCGTCCTCATGCTGTTCCCACGCATCCGGAAGATCCTGCGCAGTGCTGCCTACTCCGTTGTCCAGGGAGCGAGGCGAGGGATGTTTCGACAAAAACTACGACTTGATTTATTCATGGGTTGCGGTATCCGCGGGCTCGTCTCCAGTCCTTGGGCAGTCGGAACCTGCCCAGGAATGCGAAAAGATCCCAGGAGTTGTCCTGGGGGTGGCTTTGGGCAGTCCCGAGAGGATCGGCACGAAGAGGGAGGAGGAGGAGGAGGAGGAGGAGGAGGAGGAGGAGGAGGAGGAGGAGGAAAAGAAGGAGGAGGAGGAAGAGGAGGAAGGAGGAGGAGGAGGAGGAGGAGGAGGGGAGGAGAGGAGGAGGTGGAGGAGGAGGTGGAGGAGGAGGAGGAGGAGGAGGAGGAAAAAAGAAGGAGGAGGAGAAGAGGAGGAGGAGGTGGGAGGTGGAGGTGAGGAGGAGGAGGAGGAGGAGGAGAAGGAGGAGGAGGAGGAGGAGGAGGACGAGGAGGAGGAGGAGGAGGAGGAGGAGGAGGAGGAGGAGGGAGGAGGAGGAGGAGGAGGAGGAGGAGAGAGGAGGAGGTGGACGAGGACGAGGACGAGGAGGAGGAGGAGGAGGAGGAGGAGGAGGAGGAGGAGGAGGAGGAGGAGGAGGAGGAGGAGGAGGAGAGCGCGCCCCCACGGGGGGTCGGATCCCGACCCCGCGCGGGGCAGGCCGCGGGGACGCGCGGCGGGCCTACTGTGGGCCGCGGCCTCAGCGGAGGCCGACGTGGTGGCCTACCCCCTCGCCACGCAGGGGGAACTGCCCGCGCCGCCCAGGGAATGCACATCCTGGCCACTGGCGCCCACGACGAAATGGTGGCCTAACCCCTCGCCGCGCAGGGGGGAAGGCGCCGCCGAGGGGAATGCAGCTCCCTCGCCATCGGCGACAGCAGCAGGCCCATGATCCACCACATGTCCATGGCCTGCTCCCTCCAGTGCCTCCAGTGCGCATGCTGGCAACCTCCGGCAACCAGCCCAGGCAGTGACCTAACCCCTCGCCACGCGCGGGTTGCTGCTGCACGTCCCGAAGCGCCTGGCGGCCGCCTCAGGGTGCTCTGCCAGCCACTGCAGCTCCCTCAATGAGCACTGCGGGCGACTCGCCGTTCTGGCGCTTGGCGGTCCAGACCCCAGTCTAGGGGAATGCACATCCCTGACCACCTGGGGCTGTACGCCATCGCCACCTCGGCCTTGGAATTGTCGCCGTACCGAGCCGGCCGAAGCAGCGCGGGTGTACGAGACCAGCGGGCCCCTGCGCTCTTCCTTGGAATCACCACGCCCAGCCACACCAGGTCGCAGTCCACCATCTTCGAGCACACGGCAAGCCTGCCCAAGGCCACCGCTCCCACGGTGCGACAGCTTCCTCGCCACGGCCCCCGACGAGGAAGACCTGGCCCTCGTCGTAGTTCCCCAGTCCAGGGGAATGCAGATCCTTGGCCACCTGGGGAGGAAAAATACTAGCTTCACGTGCTGGGGCGTCCTAACAACATTTTCCGAGACTGCATCGAGCTCCACATGGGGAGGAGGATGGCGGCGTCAGCACTTCAACGCCGCCGAGCTGACCTGCTCCACGTCGGTCGCATCGGGCAATTTATCGGAGGGTGCCCGCAACTCCCTGAGGTAGTCCATGCAGGGAACCCGCTTGCACCCAGTCGACGCGGGACTTGAAGCACACGCGGCCCTTGACCCTCTTGCTAGCGGCTTCGGCCCGACCTCCAGCGATCCCCCCCTCAACGCACGGGGGGTCTCGGCTCTTTCAGGTCGGAAGAGTGCACCAGGGGAGGCCGCCGACCATGAAGACGGACTTGTCCTCGTCGTAGGGCCCGTCCCCAGTCCAGGGGAATGCACTTCCCTGGCCACATGAGGAATACGCCCGGACGAGGCCGCCTGGCCCCGGCACTCTTCCTTGGAATCACCACGCCCAGCCGCACCAGGTCGTAGCCCACCATCTCCGAGCACAGGGCAAGCCTGGCCACGGCCATCACCCCCACGAAGCGACAGCTGCCTCGCTACGGCCGAAGATGAGGAAGACATGGCCCACGTCGCAGTCTTTGTCCCCAGCCCGGGGGAATGAACATCCCTGGCCACCTGGGGCAACAAAACCCCAGCATCGACCTGACTCTGCTTTTCGACTCTGCATCTAGCTCCACATGGGGATGAGGGAAACGACGTCGACCTTCCTGTGCGCCGCCCAGGGCCATGCAGCTCCCTGGCCACTGGCGCCGTACCTGACCCCAGTGCAGGGGAATGCACCTCCCTGGCCAGCCACCTTGGGGCATTATCCTTCCAACTCCAGGCTCACTGGGCACCTGGCCTCGAGGCTGTCGTCCAGCACAAGCAACGTGGCGACTCTGACGCGATGCAGGCTCAGTAGGCACCTGCACCGCTATGCTAGATGCTAGCACTCCCTCCAAGCCTCGTTTGTCCGACTCCAGGCTCGGTGGACCCTTCACTCGAGGCTGTCGTCCAGCATGGAGGAGGAGGAGGAGGAGGAGGAGGCGGAGGAGGAGGTAGAGGAGGAGGAGGCGGAGGAGGGATGCCTCCTCCTCCTTCTCCTTCCCTCTCCCTCCTGAACCTCCTCATTCCTTCCTCCTCCGTCCTCCACGTCGTCGTCGTCGTCGTCGTCGTCGTCGTCGTCGTCGCCGTCCTCCTCCTCCTCCTCCTCCTCCTCCTCCTCCTCCTCCTCCCGCTCCCCCAGCGCACGGGGGGAGGGGGGGGTGCGAGGAGGGACGATGAAACCATGGAACCTTCTCCTTGGTGGGGGATCCCCTGGACCATCTTCACGAGGAGGAGGAGGAGGAGGAGGAGGAGGAGGAGGAGGAGGAGGAGGAGGAGGAGGAGGAGGAGCAAGCACTAAGAACATTGGGGCGCCCTCCCCGAACCGACCTCGATCCTGTACCTCCGTCCGACCGTAGTCCCGGCTGGCCTCGACAGGCCCCTCCGAGCAGGCTGGGGCGGGCTCCACATCCTGGCGCCGCCCGCGGCGGCGCCCCTCTGGGGCGTCCCGCGCCCCAGGGTCGCAGTCTTGAGACCGCCCTGGACCACTTGGGAGGCCTGCTGCGGCCAGCCAAAGACTACCTAGGGACCTGTCTTTGCGCAGCCCGAAGCCCTACCCCGGTCCGACCGGATGTGTCAGATGGGAGAGGGGGCGGGAGGGGAGGTGGGGAGAGGGGGAGGAGGAGGAGGAGGAGGAGGAGGAGGAGGAGGAGGAGCGAGGAGGAGGCGGTGAGGAGGAGGAGGGTGGAGGAGGAGGGAGGAGGAGGAGGAGGAGGAGGAGGATGCGGAGGCCGCTGCCTGCCGGAACTCATCCTCGGCCTCCTGCGGCTTGCGGAGTCGCCGCACCGCCCGCAGCCACTGCCCGTCCTTCTCGCAGGCGCCGGCAGGGGCGCTGCAGTTCAGGGCGCTCGTCTTCAGCTTCGACCTCGGCATCCCCTTGCTCCTCCTCCTCATCCTCCTCCTCCTCCTCCTCCTCCTCCTCTCTCCTCCTCTCCTCCTCCCCCTTCCCCCTCCCCCCACTCCCACTCCCCTCCGCCCCCTCTCCCTCCTTCTCCTCCTTCTCCTCCTCCTCCTCTGGCCAGCCACAGGGCCTGTCGCTCCTTGCGCGTGGAGAGCCGATTGCTGCAGGTGGCCAGATCTGGCCGCATGGTCGCCTCCGGCAGCTCGCCGAGCAGCGAGAGCCCGTAGAACCAGTGCCTACCCTTCTCGCAGGCGCTGGCTCCAGCATTGTGGATGAGGACGGACGGCTGCAACTGGGACCCCTGCATGTGGCACAGTGTGACCAGCGCTCCCTGCCAGTGCCCGCCGTTCTCGCCCACGCTGACTCCAGTGTAGCTGAAGGAGTCTGGTTCCAGCTTCGCCTCCAATATGCCGCTGATCAGCGACAAGGCCCGCTGCCACTGCCCGCCTGGCTCGCACGCGCTGGTCAGCATTGTAGGAGAGGACTAGGACGTACAGATTAGCAACGTGCTCGTCCAAATCGGCTCAGCAGCAACGCGCCACACCAGTCTGGATCAAGCAGAACGGCGGCTCGGCCAGTTTTTGGCATGCACGCGCCATCGGCTGATGCGCTGCACTGTGCGGTGGAGGGGCCCCGGGAGAAAGGATCCCAGAAGGATGCCAGAGACTTCTCTTTACCCTCCTCTGCCGCTGCTTGCTGTTGCTTTCTGCTGACTGCTGCCGCTCCTTGCCCTGTTTGCTGCTGCCTTGGGTTCCAACGGTTGCTGATCGGTGCTGCTGCTCACTGGTTCTGCTTGTTGCTGCTGCTGCTGCTGCTGCTGCTGCTGCTGCTGCTGCTGCTGCTTGCTGGTGCTTGCCGTTGCTTGCCTCTCCTGGCAGGAAGTCAGCCGGGGCAATCTAGGTCTATCTTGGGAGCGTCCTGAGCCGAACTTGGGGCTCTCGTGGGCCTCTTTGGCCCTCTCGGAGCCAGCTGGGGCCCAAACGAGGCGAGCGCGACGAATCCGCGGGCATGGCGTCGATCTGACGCGTCTCGCCTCTGGGGCGTCCCTGCGCGGAGCACCCTTAGAGCCTCTTGGAGCCCCCTCGGCGCCCTCTTGGGGAGTCCTGGGCCACTCGAGCCGCAGTGGGCGCCTCCTGGAGGTTCGCTCGGGCCAACTGGGGACCGGAGGGGTGGGACGAGGCCGAGACAAGAATCGGCCTGGGGCAAATCGGGGATCTCTGAGGTCCGGTGGTTCTGCAGGATGCATCGGGCGCCGGGGCCAGTCTAGAGCGCTCAGGAACGCTCTGTGGGGGGAGGAGGAGGAGAAGGAGGAGGAGGAGGAGGAGGAGGAGGAGGAGGAGGGGGAGGAGGAGGAGGAGGAGGAGGAGGAGGAGGAGGAGGAGGAGGAGGAAGAGGAGGAGGACTCCGGAACGAGTTGCCCCTGTCCTGCAGCCCCGCCCGAAGTGGGCCGCGCCGGGTCGTCGTGGGCCGACCCCGTGCCCGCCCCCCGGGGCCGCCAAGGCCGGCAGCTGGGGAGGCCGGGGGGAAGCCGTGTCGCACGCGCGGATGCCAGGAGCACTGCTGTGTGTGCGCGGCGGCGCCCTCGAGGACGACCACGGCAGCGACGACGACGGCGACGACCACGATGACGCTGACGCTGACGACGACGACGAGATCTGGCTGCACGCTCACTTCCCGCAGATCGCTGAACAGCAACGAAGCCCGCTGGCACCGCTTGCCCGTCTAGCAAGCGGTCATCGCGGCGATGCAGCTGACGGCAGTGCGTTCCAGCCTCACGTCCAGTAGCTCGTTCAGGAGCATCACGGCCTGCGTCCACTGCCCGCCTTTCTGGCACGCGCTGATCCCAGCGTTGTAGCTGATAGTGCCAAGCTCCAGCTCAACCTCCCGCATCTCCCTGAGCAGCAACAGCGCATGCTGCCACTTTCCTCCTTTCTCGCAGGCGCTGATCGCAGCGTTGTAGCTGACATGTGTGAATCAACTGATGAAGAATCCTCGGGCTTGAAGCACGCAAGCCAGGCAACTGGGCCACCAAACTTTGCCCATCGCGCCTTGCGATGCGCCACGCGCGGTTGCGTTCGCGCACTCTCGAGGCCACCTTGGAGAAAGGCACCTCGCCAAGCCAAGGCGCGATGCGCGAACCGCGATTATCTTCGCGCCCCTGGGGGAGATCTGGACAAAAGGAAAAAAATGAACCCTCCACGAAACCGGGAGGCAAGTATGACAATGGATCAACCTCAATCCTTGCGGGGCCATCAAGCTGCGAATGCGAGGTTGAGAGGTTCTGCTTAGCGGAATCTTCTCCTTGCCAAAATCAACATCTGCTTCGGAAGGGCCAGGGGGTCAGTGTTAGGTCGGGCGTGTCCTCCTACAGGCGGATTTTGGACGAGAGATGCAGAATAGTCAACACATTCTCAAGCATAGTAACAAAAGTCGCCCCCATACGATTTTTTGACTGCTTCTGAATGCTTCTCCTGTAGAGAGACGTGCCCGACTTGAGGCCGCAGGCAGGCCCCAGAAATGTTGGCCCACATTTTGGACGCCCGAAATGGGCACGGAAAGAATGGGCACAATGCCCAGCAACAGATGTTGTCCCGAACCAACAGCGGCCGCTGTTGGGCAGGCGGCCTTCTGTCTCAAGTGGACACAGGCCGCGGCGGCGCGGACGGCGAGCCCTGTTCAAGATGAACAGGAACTGCTGTTGGGCATCGTACCCATTCTTTCCGTACCCGTTTCGAGCGTCCCGACGAGAGGGGCCGGGCCCCCTCCCCGCGCGCGTGGCGTTGCGCGGAGAAGGGGGGGGGATTTGCGAACACTCGCGCCTCCGTGCTGCGCAGGCGATCGGCGCGAGTCCCCTCCCGGCCCCCCGTCAGCCCTGCGGGCTCAGCCCGACCCGGCCCAAGGCCGGAGCTAGCAAGACAGACACATGGCCGTACCCATTTCGGGCGTCCAGAGTGAGGGGGAGGAGGAGGAGGAGGAGGAGGAGGAGGAGGAGGAGGAGGAGGAGGAGGAGGAGGAGGAGGAGGAGGAGGAGGAGGAGGAGAGGAGGAGGAGGAGACGGAGGAGGAGGACACATGGTTTCCCGTGTGGCCCGCCCGTGGCCGGGGCCCTGGAGTCGGTGGCCCGTATGGCCGCCCGTCCATGGTCTCCCGCATGGTCTCCCGCAGGGTCTCCCGTGTGGCCTCCCGCATGCGCAGTGCGGTGCTATGTTTTGTTGGTTTGCTCGTTAATTATGTTACAAGGCAATTTTAATACTGGGATTGTATATATATACATATAGGATTTTAGTGCATGATAAACGTATGAATGAATGTATGCATGAACTCATCGTTGTGTTTAATACTAAATCCCTGCATGTTTAATGCATGGTCCGCACGCGCATGTATGAAAAGCGGCACTGCGTGTAGGGTCTTCAGCCGACAGGGTGTCATGACAGCACATGTACACATCTGTACACATCTGTATATGTGTACATGTGTGCGTGTGTGTTCGCTCAGCAAGTCACCGCGTGAATCTGAAGCGACCTACAACTTGAGCAGGACGGTCCCATCTACGGCCCTATGGTGTACTCACGCTCTGCGCGATGGGCTCCCCAGGATGCCTGTGAAGTGCTCAAGCACCATCTGGACGTGCCCGAGAAGTCTTGGAGTGCTTCGGGCTCTTCCCGGAGAGCGCGCGGCACCTCCGCGGGGCCGATGCGGGCAACACCGACAACACCCAGGGCACCACGAACTCCGATGCTTCCGGCGTCGCCCATGGCCGACCAGAGCCCCCCTCGGCGCCCCCCCCCCACCCCTGACAGGGCCAGGGCGCGCAGTGGGCGGCCTCGAAGAGCTCGGCTCGGACGAGGTCTGAGACCCCGTGGGGCGAGTGCGGGGCCGCGCACGTGCGCAGGGGTGTGGGGGGGGGGGCGGCTCGTGGGAGTGAGAGCGGGCCCGGGGCCCAAGGCCTCTGGAGGGTCCCAAAACCGTGTGGTGACAGACCGTGCGTTGACCTCGAACGCCCGAAGGACCTCGCCGCACGGTCCGTCACTGCACGAGGGTGCAGAGCACCGCAGAAGGAGAGGGGAGGAGGAGGAGGAGGAGGAGGAGGAGGACGGAGGAGAGGAGGAGGAGGAGGAGGGGAGGGGATGAGGAGGGGAGGAGGTGGAGGAGTGGGGAGGAGGAGGAGGAGGAGGAGGTGGAGGAGGAGGAGGAGGAGGAGGGAGGCGGAGGAGGAGGAGGAGAAGGAAAGAGAAGGAGAGGAAGGAGGAGAGTGAGAAGGAGGAGGAGGATGAGGAGGAGGAGGAGCGAGGAGGAGGGGGAAGGGGGGGAGGAGGAGGCGGAGGGAGGAGGATGGGCGGAGGAGGAGGAGGAGGTAGGAGTAGGGGAGGAGGGAGGGAGGAGGAGGAGGAGGAGGGGGAGGGGTGAGGGGGGGAGGAGGGGGAGGAGGAGGAGGAGGAGGAGGACGAGGAGGAGGAGGAGGCCCCAGTCGCCCGAGAGCGGCCCAAATCCCCCCAGCGGGCCGCCCACCCGGATCCCCACGGACTCACCGCACGGTGTGGTCGCTGCACCGCTTGGGGGGGGCCCCCGGGCCTCAGCCGCCACCGCCACGGGCCCCCAGGGCAGGCAGGGGATGGTGATGTCGGGCTCCAGCCGCCCCTCCATCGGCCTGCTCCGCAGGAATTGCAGCACCTGCTGCCACTGCGCGCCCTTCGCGCATGCGGCCATCACGGCGCTGTGGCTGACGACGGTGGGCCTCAGCTTCCCCTCGACGTACTCCATCATCTCGTTGAACAGCGACAACGCGTGCTGCCACTGCATGCCTTTCTCGCACGCGCTGATCGCAGCATTGTAGCTGACTAGGGCTGACCCGTGGACTCCGTCCACGACATCTTTCTGGAATGGTTCTCGGAGGAACGGCGCAGATTGTACCGAAAATCTACAAACACGGCGGCGGCTCGGGCGGCGGCAGCGAGACCGCGCCTTCGTGTCCGAGCTCTTGCAGCGCTGCAGCAGCTTGGCCCAGCGCACTGCTCGTTCACCCCTCTCCTATTGAGGACAGTTTCGAAGTCTCTCGGGGATGTGCGTCGAAGTCGAAGCCCATCTGAGGCGTCTCAGGAGCGCTCGGGGAAGGGCTCGGGAGGCCATCGGGGAAAGCCACCGAAAGCGCCGGGGAGGCTCGCAAGGATCTACAGGAAGGGCCCAAGAGAGCTTCAAGAAAATTTGAAATCCAGTGAACTCTTAAGAGAAACCGCTGTTGGGTCGGCCATCACCTCCGGGCGCGCCTTGATGGTGCGATCCAGTCGCATCACCGCCAACGGGAGGGTTTGTTCGCCATGTCCCAATCTGTTCGCCCAGAGGGTCTGTGGAGGCCTTCGGGCGAACAGAACGGGACAGGGCAAGGAATGGGGAAGACTTGTCCGAATCTCCTGGGCCCCCCAGGTGCTCGTCCGAAGAATGCAGAGAGGTCCCAGGGTCACAATTGGCTGCTGTCCCAGGGGTCCGGTCTGCTTGGCCCGAAGAGTTCGCCAAGGCCCCTGGGGGAACAGAATTGCACAGCATGTCGGGCAAAGGGGGGCGGTAGCTGGCCTGTCAGACCCGGCGTTCGTCTTCTGCCCAAGCGGCGCGGGGCCCACGGGCCCCAGGGTTGGCGTCCCGCTGGGATTCCTCTTGTTCGCCCACAGGGTTGGAGGAGGCCTCCAGGCGAACAGAATGGGGCAGGACAATGAATGTGGGAGAATTGTCGCAAGCTCCCAGCCCCCCCAAGTGTGCGCCCGAAGGGTGTGGGGCCGCGTTGGCTCCCTCAAAGGGCCGTCTTGGAGCCGTCTAGGCCCGTCTTGAGGGCGCCGATTGCCCTGATGGGGCCGTCTTGGTTCGTCGTGGGCCCCTCATGGGCGCGTCCGTAGGCCGTCCTGGGCCCATCGGGGTCCTCGTGGGGCTGTCTTGGAGCCGTCTGGGACCGTGAGGAGGCCGCCTTGGAGTCGTCTTGGGCCCCTCCTGTGCGCCTCCTTGGGCCGTCCTGGGCCAGCAGGGGCCGTGTTGGCACCCTGTTGGGGCTGTCTTGGAGCCGTCTTGAGCCGTCGCAGCGCGCCTTGGGTTGTGCTGGGTCCGTCTTGGCCCGTCTTGGGGCCTTCCTGGGCGGTTCCTCGGACCCTCCTGGGACTTTCTGGGGCCTCTTGTTGCATCGGACCGCCGAAACGGCGGGAAACGCAAAGGGTGTAACAGTAAACAATGGAAAATTAACGATTTTTGCCAGCTGGGACTCTCTTGCCATCTTGGCCCGTCTTGAGGCCCCGAACGGGCGCGTCCTTGGGCCGTCCTGGGCGCACCCTCCTGGGACCGTCTTGGAATCGTCTTTGGCCGTCTTGAGCGCGCCTTGGGCCGTCCTGGGCCGGTCTGGGGCCGTGTTGGCACCCTCGCGGCGAGGAAGCTCGGAGGCGGGCTCGAGGCCTCTTCGGGGCCATTTTGGAAGCTGTTGGGGCCTCTGTAGGGGCCTCGTTTGGGCTCCTTGGGAGCATCCTGGGGCCTCTTCGGGGGATTCTTGGCGGCCCCTTGGGGCCTCTTGGGGGCCTGTTTGGGCCTCCTGGCGCCCTCTTGGGGCGGAAGGCTAGGATTTTCGGTCCGTGGTCCCCCTCTTGGCCCCCTCTTGGGCCTGTCTTCGGGCCCTCGTGGGCCGTCTTGAGCGTCTCTTGGGTCGTCTTGGGGCCCTCTTGGGCTGTCTTGGGGCGCTCTTGGAAGCCTCTTGGGCCGTTCTGGGGCGCTCTTGGAAGCCTCTTGGGCCGTCTTCGAGCGTCGGAAAGCGGAAAAGGCGAGAAGGCCAAAATCCTTCCAA